AGTTTCCTAATGATGTCTAATCAGGGGAACAAGTGGTAAGAATTCAAAATGCTGTAGAATGAATAGAACATCTTTGATAACATAGAAATGTAGACTGGCGTTCCAATGCAGAGAAACATAAATCAATATATTATGAGGAGAAAGAATAGCATGAGCATGCCTTAAATTAACTGTAGGGGGATGAAAATCTTGTCATTTAAGAACAGATTTTTATAAGTGGGAGTGCATTAAATAGGCATATGTTAGTGAACTGTTTGATCAGTTGCTGAAGCTGCTGTAGGCTATTAAGATTGGTTCTATGGTAAATGTGAGGAAAAAGGATCTAGTTTAAGCTGCTTGTCATTTTTTGGGTTTTTGAGACTAAAGTGGATGCTGGTTTTGTTTTGGCAGATCCAAAGCAGCATCCAACCACATGCGATTATCATACTTCCAAACACAGATGGAATGGAATTATTGGTCTGCTATGAGGATGAAGGAGTCTACGTTAACACGTATGGACGAATTACTAAGGATGTGGTTCTACAATGGGGAGAGATGCCTACTTCTGTCGGTATGTAGATAATAGATCATTACAAAATGATGCCTGAGATTACATGGACATATCACCTTCTGAGAAGAGCAATTAAAAATAATAACTTCTTCTCTTGACCTTTAGTATTTTTAATTTTGACACTTTGATTTTTGAATATGATAATGGTCAACAGTTTCTGTAATGCCGCCTTTGTTATCTTGTTGTTTTAACTCACTCAAAATGTAGAGACTGAGAGATATATGCCCATGCAGCTTTTGAAAACTGGCCTCCTTTGCTTCATGATCCCAGACTTCTGTTGCTGCCATTTTGTAATACCTTCCACTGAGAGGCTGAAGGGCATGTTGCAGGATTATGTCGTGTCTCTTCAAATTATAACTTAAATGGTCCAGCTCAATTTTATCATAAATCATAGCCATGGACAGGTATACTTGTCATTCTGTAGTATTGTTAAAGCATATCACTCATTTAATATATATCGTAGGTTTTTAAAAAAACAAGTGGAAGTTCCTAAAATTTCCGTCATTTAAGCTAATCATCTTCACTATGTGTAAATCAGGGTTAAATTGTTGCTGAAAGAAAACAGGACTGAGTGTGTTGGAAATCTGAAACAAAAACAAATTGCTGGAGAAACTCTGTTTAGAAGAAGAATGTGAAATGTTAATTGCTTCCTCTCCATGGATGGTGCCAGACCTGCTGACTTTCTCCAGAAATTTCTCTTTTTTGCATTACATTGCTCTTGGGTCACATTGTAGAAAAATGGAGGAGCCTAACATTGTCCAATTTATTTTTTCAAAATGATCTAATATAAAAACCATTGCAAGGTACATATATTTTTCACCAAACTCATCAGGGATACCAATAGCACAATTGTATTTGGAAAACATTTTTGCAAACATTTATTGTAGACTATATCAATAACTCTTTAACATTTTTTCAAATCTTAATGTAGAAATTTCTTACTGCTTTTCTTTCCCTCCTTATGTCATTGATGCCTGTCTGGAGTGTCTTGTTGTTTTAATGGTAACTAGACTGTTTGACCATAAGGTTGGAGTTTATGTTCATTTGCTATGGTGTTGATCAATTTGTTGAGCCATTAAGAAAACTGTTTATTATATTCCTGTTGAAAATTTTGGATATATGTTACAGCTCCAAAGCGCTTCCCAGCTTCCAAAAGCAGAGGTCCCAAATGACTATTACAAATCATGGCAACCACTAAATAGCAATGGCGTCAGAGATTTATTCACACAGATCTTCTTGACATTTGTAGGAGTATTGACCAGAATTTTAAAAAGTCATATCAACAAGCAATTCTTTAAATTGAAAACTGGATATAATTTCTTTCTTTCTGGAAAATGTTATATGTTGAAAAGTTTGTACTTATTGTTTTATCTCTGACCCTTTACTTGCTCCAACCAGGAGAGCAAGATGGACTGCGGCAGAATAATTCATAATCATTAATATTTCTGTGTTAGTTGATACCAGAAAGACCTTTGATACTGGACAGGTCTTATTCATTCTTCATCTCCTGAGGGAATGACTATTTTGCTGTTCACCTGGTAATGGAGTTCAAAACAAATTCGTTAACTTGTTGAAAGAGCAAAGGTGGTTGAAATTGACTCAGGACTATGAGCATACAAATCTCTTGTATTTAAAGTCCAGCATTCTATAAACTATATAGTGCACTGGCCAAGTCTACATTCAAACATTTTCACTGATAAGTAATGCAGCTATATAATGACTACTGTGCACTGCAGTTTTACATTATGTTATAACTGCATGTCTGGGTCAAGCCATACCTTGATACAAACCTTTTGGCATCATTATGGAAAGTGATTACTGGGAGTGATTAAAATAACATCAGGATATCATGAGTATTTCTAAAGAAAGATGTATTATTCACAGAAAGGAAACGAGAGGGCAGTTGGAAAATAAAACCATTTGGAAACAAGTTTTTATAATGTTTAGTTCACACTTTTCTTGCTAATCCATATTTCTAATGAGCTTCTAGTACTGCTTACAATAGAGGTGAATCCAGCTTTATATTTATTACTGATGTCCAGAGATTTTTATTCTGAAATTCTAATACGTTTTTCCTTTTTTTTTAAACTCAGCCTATATTCGATCCAATCAGATTATGGGTTGGGGAGAAAAAGCCATTGAAATCCGATCAGTAGAGACTGGACACTTGGATGGTGTATTTATGCACAAAAGAGCGCAGCGACTAAAGTTCCTTTGTGAAAGAAATGATAAGGTACGTGTTTTTGTGAGTTTTGTTTTAGTGTGTTCACGTAAAGGCATCTAACATGTGTTTGAGTTTAATCAGATGTAATCTTTATCTGTGCTGAGAAAATGTGTCACATATTCAATTTTCTCTTAAAAGGTCTTCTTTGCTTCAGTCCGTTCTGGTGGAAGCAGCCAGGTTTACTTCATGACTCTTGGCAGGAGTTCTCTCCTCAGCTGGTAGGAAAGCTAATTATGTACCAAGAGCAACGGGAGTCTTCAGAAGATCTTGGAAACCTTGAATTAACTAACAACTGGAGAACAAACTGCACTGATGCAACGCATTGCCTAAACCTGTCACTGAAATTGTGATCTGTAAAAAGGAAGCAATGCTACTGGTGCTGTTAGAATTTTACTGTCAGGTGACAGCCAGTCTAGAGTAGAAGAAAACACCTCATCTCAATTATACATCCCTTAATTTAAGATGACAATGTATTGCTTGAAAAAAGTGCCCTAAGAATGCAGGCGGTTGGTTCTAAAGCGGTTGGACAAGTGGGGAAGTGGAAACAGTGATATGCTGACAGTAGAGAAATGTGTAGCATGGGAAAGGGGATTTTTTTTTTAAATGTGTATCATTCTAAGTGACTTTTCTTTTGTAAGGTAACAGAGTGTTAAGGAGAAGGAAAATGCAAGTTAGGAGTTTTTATTGAAATGTGAATGACAAAATGAAAGCAATTAATTGTGTCGGTCTTTGCAAGGGAAGGGTGTTTTGGTCATTTTCTGTATATCAGGTTTTGCTTGTGTTCTCCAAAACTTTTTTAAAAATCAATTGAAACTTGTGTGGAGGACAAGGTTTTCAGATTTGTATGGCTTTGTGGGGCAGACCAGAAACTTGATGTTTGGTTATGTTACAGTATTATAGATGCCTCTCCAAGATTTTACTTACTTGTAGCAGTAAAAAAAAGCAGTTTAACAAATCCTGCACTCGTAAATCTCCCAAACTACTTATTAAAAAATTGTTTTGCCTACCTCATTTGTTTAAGAAAGGAAAAAAAGAGGTGGTTTAGTCATTTTAATATTATTTGTATTTGAAACTTGCGCATCTTTGTCTAATTTAAAGTTTGTTGATACCAAATTTATGATCGAAATGTTTGTCTACTGTTGGTTAAATTGCAGCTTGTTTTAGCAGGCAAACAATGTGACTATTTTGTAATTGGAAAATGCCAGCTGAGTGCAGAAACTGACAGATCTGTGGTCAGCTGGTGAGGTTAGAAGCAGAAAATAGAGGCAAAAATCAACTGTTCTAAATGTGGTAGTCAGTGATCAACATGTAAATGTTATCTTCCACTTACATGCAGAAAGTGACAACTGACTTTTTTTTGTTACTCAGCCAGAATCCGAGTCAAGTAACAGTTTGAAAATAGTTTTACTAAGCTATTCTGTTGCATTAGATTCAAGTGTATAGGTAGTAGGGAGCAGGTGGTTGATTTAAGATACAATGCACTAAAACACTTAATTTCAAGAATGTAGTGAAACTGCTTATCAATACAATATTTCTTCCCTAAGTTAGATCCAAAATTTCGCTGTGGAAAGATTTTTTTAATATTGCTGCAAACAGAATTTTATTTTACATATGTTAGACATTTACAAATGTGTCTACAGTAATAATCTGTCGAACTGTCACTCAATTACTTGAGATACCTATAGTGTATAGTATACTATACTGGTGATGTAATAATGCACAATAGCATTATGTTGATCCTACAATATGTTAAACTTTTTTTTTGGTACTTTGTAGACAGCTGTCTTATGCTGTTATGTGCACAGGATCTCAACACTTTACAGGGCTTAGTTCTCTCAGCGGAGACTATTCATTCTACAGTGAAACATTCTCAGTAGTGGTACAGTGAAATTAAAGATGTGCCATGAGAATTTTTCATACATTCATGTCACTGTGATATTTTTTTTCCTCTAGCAGCTCCTGGTCACTGAATAATTTTGCAATATTTGTCCTATATCATCTGTTAATAACAGTAAAAGTAATCATAGAAAATTCCTGACGTAAGTAGGTTTACCATAAGCAGAATATTTTTTGGATTTAACAAAAACACTTAAGTCCTGATAACAGTTAGGAGTAATCCTCTGTCTCAGCAGAGTCTCTGATTAGCAACTCCCACCTATGAGAAGTGCCACGGTGGCGTAACAGTATTACAAAACCACTACGTCTATATTTGAAGAATAATTTCAACACAAGTTTTAATACTTCTAGGTTTAGTGGAAAATGCCTATAATTACTTTTGAGTTTTACTACTTTATTTTTAAGTCAAATAATGCTTGTTGTATGACTGCAGTGTCTCTATTTTATGCACGTTATGTTTGAAAAAATGTTTACAAAAATTCTTTTGTTACACTAATGTGCATCACATATTTATGTTTTTTTCTGAAATTGTTTGTTATAAGTTTTAGTTTTGTATTATGAGAACACGTGATGTTTATAACCCTGAACTCTGCTGATAACCAAGAAGCTGATGTAAAACAAAATTGAGGTGTTACTGTGTCTAGCTGCAAAGCAGATTGGGAAATATGGTTACAAGTAAACCTCTTCAAACAGTTTTCTGCTATGTGATCTAACTTATGTCTTCTGTGTATTATGGGAATTTCTGTATTTTCTCTGACGTTCATCTTTTCTTGAATAAAATCAACTAAATGCACATTGTGCATAACACAACACTGTTGTTTTGTGAAGCTTGTCCAATAAGCTTCAATTACTTTTATTTGCTTCTAGTCCCAGTGCATGTCCTGTGACCGAGAAGATTTGATCTGCTCCAAAACTGTATATGGTTGTGTAAAACTATTCCCATCTCACCACCATTACTTCACTTTGCACTTATCTTCCTGACATCTGCTTGGTCCCAACCCAACACGATATAGATGACATCAGAGGGCACAGTTTCTGATTAGGAAACATGTTTTTACTGGAAGGAATGAAGTTAACAACATCTGAGAAGTGACAGGCCATTAAGTTGACTAGCTTGATGCTTGCCTAACTGACACATCATGAGATCTTTTGCAATTGGTTTCCTGCTGGTATTGCTTGGTTTTGAACAGTACTTCCTTACACGTAGAGTTCCATAGGTAGTGTGCGGTGCAGGTCACAACTTATGATGAAATAAACAGGATAGCAGGATAAGCTTCCATGCATCATTCATATCACAACCAGAACACAATCTTGAAAGCTCAGCAACATAGGTGTGCTAAGCTGTAAGACTCACCATGTCCATCTTAGTGGCAACGCATAATAGCAACTAGTATAATTTGCTGTCATGTAGAACAAATTTCAATGTAATGGATTATTTTTGAAATCTCACCAGATACAAATCAATTCTGCCAAAAGTCAACTCAAAAAAAAAAACCTCCTCCAGAGGCATATATTAGTTTACAAGTTTGGTGTAATCACTTCAAACTCTTTTTTATCTCTAAGACCCTGTCTCCATGTGTTCTGTTGTCTTCTAAATCAGTTCATAGCTTTCAAATCATCTTTAATATTTTTTGACTCAGGCTACAATACTGAAACAGGTTGAATCAGTCATAAATAACATTCTCTGTAACTGTGACCCAGATCCATTTTCCTTCTTCACCTCAATCCTTTGTCTTGCCATTTTCTTGCACTATTCATCATTGTCCAGTTCAGTGCAACTACTGATATCTGGTTCTGCTCTAGTCTACCCATATGCCCAGAGTATCTCCAGAATTACCTTATTTTCCATTTCAGACAGTTACCCTGAGTTTCCCGTACACCTATACTTGTTCCCTTCCCCTCTCATCATCGTTCTCCTCTTGGCGTAGTCATAGAGGACCACAGCACAGAAAAGGTCCTTTCAACTCCATCGAGTCTGCACCAGTCAAAAACAACCATCAATATGCGAGTCACAGTTTTCCAGCAATTAGCCTATAGTCTTGTATGTCTTGTATGTCTTGGCATCATAAGTGCACATCTAAATCTTTCTTAAATATTAAGAGGGTTTCTGCTTCTGCCATCCTTGCAGGCACTGAGTTCCAGATTTCTACTACCATCTGGGTGAGAAAATATTTCCTCACATCCCCTCTAAACCTCCTGATCCTTGCCTTAAATCTATAGCCTCTTGTCATCAATCCCTCCACCAAGGGTAAAGGTTTTTTTCCCATCTACCTTGTCCCTCAATTTTATACATCTCACTCATGACCCCCTCAGTCTCCTATGCTCCATGGAAAACGAACCAAGTCTATCCAATCTCTCTTCATAACTAAAACTCTCCAGCCCCAGGCAACATCCTGGTAAATCTCCTCTGCACCCTGTCCAGTGCAATCATATCCCTCCTATAAAGTGGATTCAAGAACTGCATACAATACTGTAGATGTGGTCTAACTAGTCATCTGGAGGTAATGGGTCCAGCTTCCAAATATATGTTGACAGCATCCACTTCTATTTTTTTGACCTAATTGTCATGTATTAAGTAGTTTCCACTATTTTCCTACTCATCAGCTATCATCACAGGAGGAACCAGACAATTCACCAATTTGGCATCTTGTTTGACCTCAATTAGATTCTGATTCCATCCCCTCTCCATTGTAATGATTGTCTCTTCTATTTACATAACAGCCCACCATCAGTCCTGAAACTCACATCACTGTCAATGTCATCTCTGTTTGACTAATGCTTTTGTGCCCAACATCCCATTATCTGCACTTTTATAATGTACACCTTATCCAAAACTTTACCTTATCCCCTTATACATCACTCCTGTCCTTGTTGAACTTGCTTTATTCCTGGCAGCCAAACCTATGTAGGCAACATTTTCATCCTTCTGTTTAAATTATTATGGCTTTAATTTTTCCTATCTCTGTACCTCTTCCAAGATTCATTCACCAAAATGCCCCCTGTGTTGCAAAAATTGATGTGTGTAATATATGTTCACACAGCCCAACCCCTATGTGTACGTATACGTGTGCGCGCGCACAGGCAACTGAGGCCTTGCCTACTGCTTTTACATACCTGCTGCTCCTAGCCTCTCCATGTCTCTCGTTAGTTAACATACTCCATAAAATCCACTTCTTAGGAGAGTAAATCACCTTGGATTTTTTGGATCAATGCCAGTTTTCATCTGATTAACCCTCTGTGAACTGTTTTGGGCTGTCTGCTGTTTTCACTTTCATCTCTAAGGTACAACTATACTGTAGTAAGTTGTATGTTTTGCGAAGATTTTAATCAGATGCGGTGCACATCAGATGACTGATCAGATTTTGCACATCTTGCATCTGATTAAAAGTTGCAATCTGGATTTCCTTTTTTTTACCAAGAATAAATGCGATGTCTAGAGCTATCTTGCAACAACCATAGGTTTTTGGCTAAGCTATGGTTAACACTCATCCTATTTCTCTTTTTAGCATCATCCAAATTAGTAGATTGTTCATGTTCATGTTTATCTTTGTGTAACATCTTTTTAATTTGTTTCTAAATGTCACCTATAACATTTCTGCCCAGTTGCAACTTTTGTCTAGGTGTTTAATTGTTTGGATACTGAATCAGATTATAATTGTTACCCTAATTTAGTATCCTTTGGAAATTTGGCCAAATTAGCTTCCTTTCAGCTTGTTACTAAACACACATTGTCTAGGTATTAGAATATTGTTTTTAATAGGAGCTTGCTAATTCTGATATTGGCTGTCTTTTTTCTGAACCTTACAGTACTGAGTATACTTAAAATGCATCTTCAGCTGTAAAACAGTTTGGGACATACTTAGGCCATGAAATACTATATAAATGCAAATTTATTTTCTGGATCAGGCTAATAGAGGTTAGAAATAATAAGGAAGGAGTTATTAACTGGACCATGCTGTTATTCTGATAAATCAATTAATTTGCCTTTATTGATGTCAGAATAATGAATATGCAGTTCCTTGATTTCATTTGAGAAGGGATTTTCCTTATCTTGTTTTGATATAGATGTCTTACCCCATTCCTTTTATTTTTTTCCTGATATCTCCTGATGCATCAATGCATTTATCCAAAATTCCAAATTATGGTATATTCTGAATGCATTTCAACGCTTGATTGTCTGTATTGTTACGAGTTTTAAGGTTACCAGATTTTTTAGAGTTGAAATAAAAATGATTGTTGTGCCTCTTTTCTTAGAAATTAAATAGTTAATCTCAGGATTGAAAAGATACTAGAATTAACCTGTTTCTTGGGAAAATAGAGATGAAAATTATTTGCTGCCCTCAATTCTCATCATTATTTCACTGGGAAGTACCTATCTGTTCATGTTGGATATGTAATGGCCTTGTATCTGATGCTTTCCATAATCAAATAATTTGCTGACTCTGTGTCCAAACTCTCACCAGAAGAATGTTCACATGAACAACATATCTAGGACACCACAGCAACAGCCAGGAGAGAGAGGACAGGATGGAAAATTGGAAATATTCTCAGGTTAATGATTAAATTGTGAATTTGTTTAGGTTTTCTTACATTCTTGTTACTGAATTGAATGAGAAATGTATACTTCAAATATATGTAAATATTGTACAAATGTGTGTATTTCTAACCTTTAAAATATATATTATACTTTTTAGACAATGCAACCTGATTGAATTTTGCTTGTTTGTGTTGACTTAGAAGCACTTTAATCCCTAATCAATATGCACCCTCCATGTTCATTATACAAAATTTAATTTTTCTGAAACTTTTAGCAGTAGTGCCGTACTTCTTAAAGTTTAGCAAATGGAATTCTGGATCCTGTATTTAAATGCTGAAATTTAAACTCATGGGGAACTTTGGTGATGTCACTTTTGACAAGTATTGCAGTCTTTGTGTTTGAAATAAAACTGTGAACCTTCACTTGAGTTCTGATGAAGAGGAGTCGTATTGGAATTGGAAGTTTAATTCTTTTTCTCTCTCCACAGGTGCTGCAAGATGTGCTGAGCTTTTCTAACAGTTTACTTTTGTTTTAAAGCTTCTCTTATTGGTTAAAATGTATTCTTGTCTTTGCTTCATCCATCTTTTTAGGAAGTGAAAATTTCTTTTGGCTTTTTAAATTGTGCTTGCAAATGCTCTGCAACTAATAAAGCAAGATGTGATTGCACTGGCGGGGGTGCAGAGGGGATTCACCAGGATGTTGCCAGGGATGGAGCAGTTTAGCTGTGAGAAGAGGCTGGACAGCCTCTGATTGTTCTGTTTAGAGCAGAGAAGACTGAGGGGAAGCTGATAGAGGTGTATAAGACTGAAGGCCATGGGCAGGGTGAGTAGAAAGCGGTTGTTCACCTTTGTCAATGGATAAATAATCAGGAGGCATGATTTTAAGGTGAAATGCAGGAGATTTAGAGGGGATTTGAAGAAAAAACTTCTCACCTAGAGGGTGGTGCCCTGTCTGTGAGGTTGGTTGAGGCAGGAAATCTCCAGCTTGTACATGGATGAGCACTTGAAATGTCAGAACATTCAAGGCTATGGGCCAAGTGCTGGAAAGTGGGATCGGTGTAAGCAGGTTGGTGCAAACTCGATGGGCTGAAGGGCCTGTTCTGTGCTGTTCTATATGACCTGTCATCAGTGTGTGCACAGATTGCTTTTGTAGCAAGATTTTCTGTTCCCCCCCCCCCCACCACCACCACCACCACCACCACCTCAATGGCAGTGACTTCTTCTCTGGCTTCCATGTGATTTCTTGCTGTGTCTCCATATGTCCTCAATTCGCTTTTATTTCTCTTGCATGTGATGTCCCTCAGCAACATCGTCTAAAATCACAGCTTTAGATTCCAATGTTTGCTAAATGTCACTTAGCTAGACCTCATCCCTTGACTTCTCCATTGTTGCCAACATATCAGACTATTTAATTGACATACCTGACAAGATGAGCAGAAGCACCCTCCAATTAAATTTTGTGACGACCAGCACACACTTCCGTTCCTGCTCCAAATACAATTCTCTTGCTACAGACTCCATCCTTCTTCTGGATAATTGCCTGTGATGCAAATCAGATATTCACAACCTTCATGTCTTTTGACCTAAGATGAGCTTCTGATGACATAGTGGCACTGTCACTAAGATGGAGGTGGAAACACATGATCACACTACTCATCGTCTCTGTCTCAACTCATTTGCTGCTGAAACTGTCTTTTGTGTCTTTGTCATTGTGATCCCTGTGGAAATCAATAGCGGTTGAAAAGATTTCGAATTCTCAGTTAGTAGCTGAGGAATGACACTATATTTTACATTTAAACAGTGTAACAAGCAACGAAAATCTATGTTGACTGAATACTGTCTTTGGAGAAAACATGTCCTTTAAACCACACAACAGAGGGCTGTGACAACATTCTGACAATTCTGACATTCTGAAATCTGTTGCTCTCGACCTTGGTGCGCCCTTTAGTATTGTGTCTCATCCGCCCAGCAATGTGGAAAATTTTGCAAGAATGTCCTGTTCGCAAAAAATAGCACCAATCCAACATGGCCAATTACTACCCCATCAGTCGACTCTCTCTGTGAAGAGGCACTGCAAAAAATAACCTGCTTGCTGACTTAGTTTGGATTCTACCAGGGCCACACAATTCCTGACCTCACTACAGCTTTAGTCCAAACATGGACAAAAGAGCTAAACTCTATTGTTGAGGTAAGAATTACTACCCTGGGTGTTAAGGCAACATTTGGCAGAATTTGACCTATAAAAAACCTTAGCAAAACTCTAATCACTGGGAATTGGCGAAGGCTGTCTCTCTTCCTTTTGGAATCATAGCTAACACGAAGGAAGATGGTTATGGTTGATGGATATCACTACAGGAGTTCCTCAGGTTGTGACCTAGGCTCAACCATCTTCGGCTGCTTCATCAGTACCCTTCCCTCCACCATAATGTCTAATATGGGAATATTTGCTGATGTTTGCTGTTCATGACTCCCGAGATCTGAAGGAGTCTGGTTCTGTATGCAACTTCGTTCTTCCAGCAATCTTCCCCAACTGAAATTTAAATCCATTTCCAAGCCAAACATTGTCCAAATAAAATATCCAGAAGATCCAGTCATAAAAGC